TGTATGGAGGGTTGTGGGTGTGGGGGGAGAGAGTGGATAGATGGGTGTAGATGGGTTTGGTTGAAGAAACTCCCTTTCCCCCTACCTCCCTTCCTTCTCTTGATAAGTAATACAAGTGAATGCAATTGCTGCATTTTACCTGTAATCCAAAATAAAATAAAATAAAATATTTTATAAGTTACAAGCTAAGACAAAATTAGATGTCATGATATTACTTTGTCTTTACACATATATTTACTAATGGCCAAATGTAGTAACCATCCACTTCAGCTAGCACTTCCTGTTTTTAGGTCTGTTTTCACATTTTAAGGTAAAGAGCTTTGGATGAAGTGTCAAAAATGTGACACAGGTTGTATTATTATGCTTAGTAGGCCTGAGGCTACAGCCAACTAACAAATGACCAGCCAGGCTAACACACACACCTCCAGTACACTCCTCTCCCCGTCTACACTTACTTACACACATACAATTCAAGGAAGATCTAAGTCTGTATTCACAAAATGTCTCTTTGAATGGGCTGCGTCTCAATCCACCGCATCCACTGATATCGGCCTTCCGCATCTGCGGTGAAAGGTGGCAGAGCTACCGGTGTTTGTCAGACTATGTGACAACCCGGAAATTGTTCTTGTTACGAAAATGTCTGTAGCATCCCAACAGTTTGGGCTATACACTAATATGACCCCTCTATGGAAAGGTGAGACTCTCACAAACATGTACATGTCAGTTGTTTGGCTCTAGGAGTGATTGAGTGAGTGAGTGAGTGAGTGAGTGAGTGAGTGAGTGAGTGAGTGAGTGAGTGAGTGAGTGAGTGAATGAGTGAGTGAGTGAGTGAGTGAGTGAGTGAGTGAGTGAGTGAGTGAGTGAGTGAGTGAGTGAGTGAGTGAGTGAGTGAGTGAGTGAGTGAGTGAGAGCTAGGAGAGGAAAGGGAGAGAGAGAGCGTGTGTGTGGGGGGGAATCAGTAATATTAGACTGGTTCCGTATCATTGATCATCAACGCCCCCACAGGGATTATGTGCAGATGTAGGATCTTAATTTGATCATTTTCTCATAGTAGAAAAATAATCCTGCAGCAAAACGAAATGTGAATTATTGTGTGGATTATAATTAATTAACATTTTTGTAAGGGTTGATACATTTAGGGCAAATCAAGTCTGACATTTTAAAGTGAAAATTAGAAACATTAGAAGCCTTTTTAAACCTTGAATACACTTCACGTTTGCATTTCCTGCTGTGCAGGACATTTCCTGCAACAACAGGGTGATCAAATTAAGATCCTACACCTGTATACACTGAGTTCAGAACTCACTCACACATAGACACACAGACACACATGCACACATACACATCAGCACTGACTATTGCTTAATTGGATATTGTTGTATGTGTAAGCAATAGCTAAGTTAGCTATGCAAAGTGCCAGATAGGTAACCATTTACAATATCTGCTGTTCATTATTACTTAGTCAATAAACACCATCAGCTGACAGAAGATCTAGCTAAGTTAGCTTCAGAAAGTAAGGGAGAGATCTGGCCTTTCTGCAGCAGGTAGCTCTGGCCGGGCAGCTTAATCTTGTAGCAGCTTGAGGGACTAACTTATTTCCACTAGCTACTACTAGCTAGCATGACTACAGCCAGTAACCATGTAGGGCTAGCTAGCAGCCTGCTAGCTAGTGCCAGCTTGGCTTGCTAGCTAGGCAGCTAGTGCTAGTTAGCCAGCTAGTGCAAGACAACTTTGTTCAGTTGTTGTTGAGTTTGTAATAAGTTCTGCATCTTAGCTAACATACGTATTTTTATCTTCCTGTCACACTCACACAGTCTAATCCTTTCTTTGTGCTGCCAACCCAGGCTGTAAACACCCCCCTAAGCCCGTGAATATTCTATGAGGGGGCGTGTACTTCTGGGTGGGAACAAAATGAAAAATGAAAATGAAAAATGGAATGTACAAAACAAAAAACAAAAAACAAAAATTGAATAGATTTTGTTGTTATTTGTTTTCCATTATTCAATTTCCAAACAATTTCGAGAATATATATGATAAAACAGGTAATATCCCATTTTCGTTTTTCAAATTCTGAAAAAAAAGAAAATGAGCCATTTTCCATTTTTTCATCCTCTTTTTTGACTCAGTAATCAAAATAACCTAACCTACACAGACCTTGGAGGTCTGGAGAATTTTGTATTGCAAAAACAGTTTAAATATGGGCCAAGATTTTGTTTGGATGTTACATTTCAAGAACCCTCCCCCCACATGCCCGTTGGTTCTATGTTTGTCACTGTTTTCCGACCAGGAAGGAGACATTTTGCAGAGAGTTGTTCCATATGCTAGTTTGCAACAAAAATAATTGTCATGCACTGTTGCACCTATGACACTAATCTAGTGAGCACTATTGGTGCTTTCAAGACAACTGGAAACTCTGAAAAAAACGAAGTCAAATCATGACGTCAGTGATCTTCAGGTCAGAAAGTCGGAGCTCTAGAAAGATGCCAGAGTTTCTGAGTTGGATGACCATTCAAAAAGATTTTTCTCAGTCCGAGCTTGTTTTCTTTCGAGATCCCAGTTGTTTTGAACGCACTGAAGTCGGAAGTCAGAGATTTCCGAGTTCCGAGATCTGAGTTCCCAGTTGTTTTGAACGCAGCATATTACCGGGTTTCGACCTCTATTTAGAACTTCCCAATGCTTCCCCATATTAGGGAAGCCTGGTTCTCCACGAGGCTATCATTAAATACGTATTTTTGATTTCAAATGTAATGTTTGGGCATTTCCATCAAACACAGAATAACATTAAAGGTTTTTATTTTTAAGTCAAAGGGGATCTTTCAGAATTGCCGCAACAAATGCACATTTTGGCATATTGCGCACCAATTTGCTTATAATAACACACAGGGGCTCAACTTTCACTGGGGATGGGGGAAAGTTCAAATGTATCACTTAAGCATGTTAACCCCCGCAAGGCTGCCGGCCCACAGCTAGCTGGTGTGTTCATGGACATATTCAATCTCTCCCTTTCCCAGTCTGCTGTTCCCACATGCTTCAAGAGGGCCACCATTGTTCCTGTACCCAAGAAATCAAAGGTAACTGAACTAAATGACTATCGCCCTGTAGCACTCACCTCTGTCATCATGAAGTGCTTTGAGAGACTAGTCAAGGATCATATCACCTCTACCTTACCTGTCACCCTAGACCCACTTCAATTTGCTTACCACCCCAATAGATCCACAGACGATGCAATTGCCATCACACTGCACACTGCCCTATCCCATCTGGACAAGAGGAATACCTATGTAAGAATGCTGTTCATTGACTATAGCTCAGCATTCAACACCATAGTACCCTCCAAGCTCATCATTAAGCTCGAGGTCCTGGGTCTGAACCCCGCCCTGTGCAACTGGGTCCTGGACTTCCTGACGGCCGCCCCCAGGTGGTGAAGGTAGGAAACAACATCTCCACTTTGCTGATCCTCAACACTGGGGCCCCACAAGGGTGCGTGCTCAGCCCCCTCCTGTACTCCCTGTTCACCCATGACTGCGTGGCCAAGCACGCTTCCAACTCAATCATCAAGTTTGCAGACGACACAACAATAGTAGGCTTGATTACCAACAATGATGAGACCGCCTACAGGGAGGAGGTGAGGGCTATGGGAGTGTGGTGCCAGGAAAATAACCTCTCACTCAACATTAACAAAACAAAGGAGATGATCGTGGACTTTAGGAAACAGCAGAGGGTGCACCCCCCTATCCACATCGACAGGACCGCAGTGGAGAAGGTGGAAAGCTTCAAGTTCCTTGGCGTACACATCACCGACAAACTGAAATGGTCCACCCACGCACACAGTGTGGTGAAGAAGGCGCAACAGAGCCTCTTCAACCTCAGGAGGCTGAAGAAATGTGGCTTATCACCTAAAACCCTCACAAACTTTTACAGATGCACAATTGAGAGCATCCTGTCGGGCTGTATCACCGCCTGGTACGGCAACTGCACCGCCCACAACCGCAGGGCTCTCCAGAGGGTGGTGCGGTCTGCCGAACGCATTACCGGGGACAAACTACCCGCCCTCCAAGACACATACAGCACCCGATGTCACAGGAAGGCCAAAAAGATCATCAAGGACATCAACCACCCGAGCCACTGCCTGTTCACCCCGCTATCATCCAGAAGGCGAGGTCAGTACAGGTGCTTCAAAGCTGGGACAGAGAGAATGAAAAACAGCTTCTATCTCAAGGCCATCATCAGACTGTTAAAAAGCCATCACTAGCACATTAGAGGCTGCTGCTGCCTATTGAAATCACTGGCCACTTTAAGAAATGGAACACTAGTCACTTTAATAATGTTTACATATTTTGCACAACTCATCTCATATGTGTATATACTGCATTCTATTCTATAATATTCTTCTGTATCTTAGTCCATGCCGCTCTGTCATTGCTTGTCCATATATGTATATATTCTTAAATCCAATTCCTTACTTTTTTGTGTGTATTGGGTATATGTTGTGAAATTGTTAGATATTACTGCACTGTCGGAGCAAGAAGCACAAGCATTTCGCTACACCCGCTATAACATATGCTAAACACGTGTATGTGACAAATACAATTTGATTTGATTTGATTTGAATGTGATACAAAACGAGGCAAAGGTGTGTTTTAGGACCATGTGGACAACTCCCAGCGGTCGGGTAGGCTGTTTGGAGTGTTTATCCTACTGGATAATTTTTTAAAAATAAATACATTATGTCCCCCCACTTCTAAAACCAAAGTTGCGCCCCTGATAACACACACCTCTGGGAAACTCGATGCATGTAAGTCCAGGGGTTGTCCCTCACAGCTGTCCGGTTGTTTACATTGCCTATAATGCTCAAGGTCCCGGGATAAGGATTACATTTGACCCTCAACTGTTAGTCAACCATATTACAGCTCAGTGCTCGCGTCGTGGCTCTGGCGACAAATCCAGCAGTTTGATAGGCTGGAGTCACATGACTCTGCTAATCGTGAGTGTATTTCAGCGTCCACGAGAGGACTGTAGCTCTCTCCTCTGAGAGCGGCTTTGAATTAAATCCTGAATCGGAGGAGGAGGTATTTTTTGCAACCATCGCGCTATCGTTGAAACGTGTCGCCGAGCTGGGGGGAAATTCGGGAAAGAGGTGCCGCGCTGGAGCACCGCACAGCACCGACACACGACGCGGCACGAACATGCTCACGCGGGTTAAATCTGCGGTGGCCAATTTCATGGGAGGCGTTGTGGCTGGTGGTGCTAACGGTGACTATTTCGGATCAGATCTGCCGCTGAAATTCCCCTACATGAGACCCGAGTTCCTAGGACTGACCCCGGATGAAATCGAGTGTTCCGCAGATCACATAGCGCGGCCGATTCTCATTCTCAAAGAGACGAAGAGATTGCCGTGGGTCACATAATATAATTAAACATGAACGCTATTGCCTATCATAGATTTGTGTTGTGTGTCACAGTCTCTCTCATGCGAATAACAGCTGAGAGAGAGAGAGAGAGAGAGAGACAGAGAGAGAGAGAGAGAGAGAGAGAGAGAGAGAGAGAGAGAGAGAGAGAGAGAGAGAGCTAAGGCAGAGACAATAAGAAGAAACAGTGGCAGAATAAATTCAACCACACCTTTGTACTAAACAACTATTGATTTAGAACCAGGGACAGTTACCGCAAGTTGCAAAGAAAACAGGAGCTGCCTCCACTATTCCAGCACCATTTCAACTTCAACATTTCAACATCATCAAATCTCCTATGCTTAGTCGAATACAGTGACAACTATAAGATACCAAAAACGATTTAGTCTAATCAACGTAAGCTAAATATGATGTGGCTGTCCATGGTTCTGATTTGTGTGTGTGTGCGTTTGTGCAAGTAGAAAAAACTTGTTCGCTCACCCTACTTATAGAGAAATGCCAATGCCATCCTCCTCTCTTTCAAGTTGATGAAACAGTCTATGACTCTGTCATACAGTACACACTTTTATTTTTTGTTGTCCTAGGCTACCTGGCTAAAATGCTTGCTCACTAGCCTAACTTCCTTTCATGGGCAACGTTAGTTAGTTAACTTTGGCTAATGTAGCTACAGTGGGGAAAAAATGTATTTAGTCAGCCACCAATTGTGCAAGTTCTCCCACTTAAAAAGATGAGAGAGGCCTGTAATTTTCATCATAGGTGCACGTCAACTATGACAAACCAAATGAGAAAAAAAAATCCAGAAAATCACATTGTAGGATTTTTAATGAACTTATTTGCAAATTATGGTGGAAAATAAGTATTTGGTCAATAACAAAAGTTTCTCAATACATTGTTATATACCCTTTGTTGGCAATGACACAGGTCAAACGTTTTCTGTAAGTCTTCACAAGGTTTTCACACACTGTTGCTGGTATTTTGGCCAATTCCTCCATGCAGATCTCCTCTAGAGCAGTGATGTTTTGGGGCTGTCGCTGGGCAACACGGACTTTCAACTCCCTCCAAAGATTTTCTATGGGGTTGAGATCTGGAGACTGGCTAGGCCACTCCAGGACCTTGAAATGCTTCTTACGAAGCCACTCCTTCGTTGCCCGGGCGGTGTGTTTGGGATCATTGTCATGCTGAAAGACCCAGCCACGTTTCATCTTCAATGCCCTTGCTGATGGAAGGAGGTTTTCACTCAAAATCTCACGATACATGGCCCCATTCATTCTTTCCTTTACACGGATCAGTCGTCCTGGTCCCTTTGCAGAAAAACAGCCCCAAAGCATGATGTTTCCACCCCCATGCTTCACAGTAGGTATGGTGTTCTTTGGATGCAACTCAGCATTCTTTGTCCTCCAAACACGACGAGTTGAGTTTTTACCAAAAAGTTATATTTTGGTTTCATCTGACCATATGACATTCTCCCAATCCTCTTCTGGATCATCCAAATGCACTCTAGCAAACATCAGATGGGCCTGGACATGTACTGGCTTAAGCAGGGGGACACGTCTTGCACTGCAGGATTTGAGTCCCTGACGGCGTAGTGTGTTGCTGATGGTAGGCTTTGTTACTTTGGTCCCAACTCTCTGCAGGTCATTCACTAGGTCCCCCCTTGTGGTTCTGGGATTTTTGCTCACCGTTCTTGTGATCATTTTGACCCCACGGGGTGAGATCTTGCGTGGAGCCCCAGATCGAGGGAGATTATCAGTGGTCTTGTATGTCTTCCATTTCCTAATAATTGCTCCCACAGTTGATTTCTTCAAACCAAGCTGCTTACCTATTGCAGATTCAGTCTTCCCAGCCTGGTGCAGGTCTACAATTTTGTTTCTGGTGTCCTTTGACAGCTCTTTGGTCTTGGCCATAGTGGAGTTTGGAGTGTGACTGTTTGAGGTTGTGGACAGGTGTCTTTTATACTGATAACAAGTTCAAACAGGTGCCATTAATACAGGTAACGAGTGGAGGACAGAGGAGCCTCTTAAAGGAGAAGTTACAGGTCTGTGAGAGCCAGAAATCTTGCTTGTTTGTAGGTGACCAAATACTTATTTTCCACCATAATTTGCAAATAAATTCATATAAAATCCTACAATGTGATTTTCGGGATTATTTTTTCTCAATTTGTCTGTCATAGTTGATGTGTACCTATGATGAAAAGTACAGGCCTCTCTCGTATTTTTAAGTGGGAGAACTTTGTCACGCCCTGGCTCTGGGGACTATGTTATGTTGAGCCAGGGTGTGTAAGTCTATGTTTTGTATGTCTATGTTGGCCTGAGTGACTCCCAGTCGGAGGCAACGAGTGTCAGCTGGTTGTCTCTGATTGGGAGCCATATTTAACTATCGGTCTTTTCACTTTGTGTTATGGTTTCTTGTTCCTTTTGGTTTGTGTGTATCGAAGGACTTCACGTTTCGTTCGTTGTTTTGATCAGGTGATCTGTTTAATAAATAATATGTACGCATTCAACGCTGCGCATTGGTCCTCCTCCTTAAGCGATCGTGACAGAAGAAACCACCAAAAATGGACCAAGCAGCGTGAAGAGGAGAGAGGAAGGACCTGGGATCAGGGGAGTAGGAGTTTCGGCTGGGCCACGCTAAGTGAAGAGGAGAGAGGCTGGTCTATGAAGCAATGGATCGAGAGTCTGGCGAGAGCTAGGGAGGCCTGGTCCACGGGGAGGAGAGAACCCCAGAACATTTTTAGGGGGGGGGCTCACGACGTGGACGACGGGGCAGCCGGAGGCCGCGATGGAGCGGTCCAGCGGGTGTGCAGAGGAGGCCGCCAGGTTAAGGGGGCCACTGGTCACAGAGGAGAGGGAAAGTGTGGAGGCACGGCGAGAGGTACTGGGGTGTATTACCAGTCCGGTCCGGCCCGTTCCTGATCCCTGCATAGGGCCAGTGGCGTGTGTCCCCAGTACGGTTCGGCCTGTTCCTGCCTCTCGCACCGAGCCTGTGGTGCGCGTCGTCAGCCCTGTCCGGCCCGTTCCTGCTCTCCGTACCAAGTCGGTGGTGCGCGTCGTCAGTCCGGCACGGCCCGTTCCTGCTCTCCGCACCAAGTCTGTGGTGCGCGTCGCCAGCCCAGTCCGGCCCATCCAAGCTTCCCGCACCAAGCCAGTGGTGTGCGTCGTCAGTCCGGCACGGCCCGTGCCTGCTCTCCGCACCAAGTCTATGGTGCGTTTCGTCAGCCCTGTCCGGCCCGTTCCTGCTCTCCGCACCAAGTCTGTGGTGCGCGTCGCCAGCCCAGTCCGGCCCATCCAAGCTCCCCGCACCAGGTCAGTGGTGCGCGTCGTCAGCCCGGTCCGGCTCATTCCTGCTCCCCGCACCAAGTCAGGGGTGCGCTTCGTCAGCCCGGTCCGGCCCGTTCCTCCTCCACGCATCAAGCCAGGGGTGTGCGTCGTCAGTCCAGCACAACCCGTGCCTGGGTCATGTCCGGAGCCGGATCCGCCGCCGAGGCGGAGTGCCCACCCGGTCCCTCCCCTGTTGTGGTTGTTTGGCGCGGCCGGAGTCCGCGCCTTTGGGGGGGGGTACTGTCACGCCCTGGCTCTGGGGACTATGTTATGTTGAGCCAGGGTGTGTAAGTCTATGTTTTGTATGTCTATGTTGGCCTGAGTGACTCCCAGTCGGAGGCAACGAGTGTCAGCTGGTTGTCTCTGATTGGGAGCCATATTTAACTATCGGTCTTTTCACTTTGTGTTGTGGTTTCTTGTTCCTTTTGGTTTGTGTGTATCGAAGGACTTCACGTTTCGTTCGTTGTTTTGATCAGGTGATCTGTTTAATAAATAATATGTACGCATTCAACGCTGCGCATTGGTCCTCCTCCTTAAGCGATCGTGACAAACTTGCACAATTGGTGGCTGACTAAATACTTTTTTTCCCCACTGTACATATTGAAATTCCATCCTCTCAGTCCAGGGGCACAATGTATGAATTTATGGTTGGATCAGAATCGCTGTTATAATCATTGGCTAGTACGGAGAGTTAAGTAAAACCACATGTCCATCCATGGCTAATTTAGGAAAGGGCCAATTTTAGCTAGCTAGCTAGCCACCGGAGGACAACAACACAATGAGATGCAACAATTCAAGTTGTTTCTGTCAATGACGTATTTCTCTTGATGCTATGTGATAGCAGAAAAGCCAAATCCGAACTGGCTTCCCTTGACATTTTGTTTTTGGTGCGCCAACGCCATTTACAGTTGAGCTCACTCAGTTTAGCTCAACGCTGATTGGCTATTCTTTTATACTTTTTTTTTATCAAGGGAGGCCAAATGCTCGCTGGCTTCCAAGGCATTCAATGCTATGGGCGGCAACAGTGTCATACTCTTTATGACCAGACAGCATCAGATAGATGGCCTACACATACAGAGACAGAGGGGCGCTGTTTTGCTCGCTAGGATGCTTTCTCCGGTGAGATACAATCAGCCTCGAATGAAGGAAAATTATGAAAACACAGAGAGAGGAAAGATAAATAATACAATTTAAAAAAATTGTTTTAATGGGTCAATTTTGGGGGGGAAGTCTGACTTCCCTGGGTATCCATGAATACACGCCACTGGTCCTTACATAGACATACAGCTTTCTATTTGAGTTATATGTCCCATTGATAAATCCACAGTGTACATTGAAGTATCCAACCTGTTCAAAGCTAACAGCAAATAATAGAAATGAAAATCAGGTGCAAGTGATGTCAGTGTGCATCTAATATGATGTGGTTATAAAAGAGCACATTTTCAAAGCAAATTCTCCTAAGAATTTCAGCAGTCATGGATGAAGTAATCACAGTCTGAATAACAGACAATCAATACCCTGAACAAACCCAAAACCCAGCCGTAGACCTATTTTATTCCCACAGTAAAACAGATGCATTATCCTGGTTTAGCTTACATGCATCTATACTAATGTATGAAACATGTCTTTCTGTCTCTCACAAGGAAGGACAGTGGGAAATAACACGTTTTTCTTCTGGCCCGTATTTGTAGGTCAATTGTGTTCTGAGAACTTCACTGTGTCACTAGGTCATTATAGTGTGTGTGTCCCCCCTCTCTCTCCATCCGGTCCCATTGCCAATATTGTAGCAAAGTAGTTCACTCAGTCGTTAGATATTAATCTCACTCATATATGTATAGATCTCACTCCACTCTGTCTGTGGTGCAAATACAACATCCTTTCCAATGGTTTTTGTGTTGTTTTTGTGTAGTTTGTGATTAGAATTCGTTACTCATTGATCGCTATAGTTTTATACATATCTTCCTTGCTTCACCAATAACAGGTCTATCAGTGTGTCTTTTTGAGAGGAAACACACAGCCATGCCAATTCTCATAGCTCTTTCTCGCTCTCTCTCTCTTGTCAGACTTGAATGATGTCTATGGCCTTGATCAGTGCTATACAGGGCCAATGGTGGAAAAAGTACCCAGTCCGCCAGATCAGAGGCGGTAGTGATGACCATGGTTGTTCTCTTGATAAGTGCATGAATTGGACCATTTTCCTGTCCTGCTAAGCTTTCAAAATGTAATGAGTACTTTTGGGTGTCAGGGAAAATGTATGGAGTAAAAAGTACATTATTTTCTTTTGGAATGTCAAAAATATAAATAGTAATGTACAGATACCCAAAAAATCTACTTATGTAAAAATACTTTAAAGTACCACTTAAGTACTTTACACCACTGTACAGGGCAAATAAAACCAACACAGATTTCAGACAGATACATAATTGTTCTGTTTGTTGCATTCTCCAGATCTTCAGTCTCTTTGAAGGTGAGAGCTTTGTACTCTTGCTCTTGCTCTCTCTCTCTCTCTCGCTCCCTCAGAACCAGTTGAGGATTTGTAGGAAAATCTCTCTTTCCCTCTATCGTTCTCTTCATCTTTCTTCTGTCTGTCGGTCAGTCTGTCTCTTCCACTCTATCCCGCTCTCTTTCTCTCCCCTCTTTCTCTAGGGATCATCTTTGAGAAGACAGTTTTGCCTCTGTTTCTGTCTGATAGTTAATGAGTCCAGACCTAATTGGCATTTCACTGTAAGAACCTCATCCTCTGTCATTACACACCTCAACTCTAATTATACTATCTTGCATATATTAGGCAGACACCATCTAGACAGCTTACACTAACAAATTGCTGTACATTTTGTTAGCTACTGTAATTATATATTACAGTACTGTAAAGAGCAATGCATTATGGGGGCTCAATGGCATTCTGCTACACTGCTGTAAATTGCTGAAATCTTACAATACAATTGACATTAACATACTGTATTATCTGTTTTGCTGTATGTTTACAGCAGCATACTGTGAATTCTGTGTATTGTGGGAAAATGTTGTGGGCGTGGGAAATAATCTCTGGTTCATTAACATATTTTGAGGCGTGCCTTGTATGAGGCTGTATTTGTTGCACCCGTTAGTGTGAATGCTGTACCCCACAGAATACAGTGCAATACCATATTTCTAGAGTCTAAAACCATTATCTGTAAATCTACAGTAATATACTGGCTACTGTGCTGCCAGTAATTTGCTGTAATTCAATACCACCCCACAGAATACAGTACCATACTGTTTTTTTGGAGTGCCAAAAACCTTTTGAACACTAGTGGGTGCATTGTATTGTTGTTTCTGGCTCATTAACATATTTTGAGGCGTGCCTTGTAAGAGGCTGTATTTGTTGCACCGTTAGTGAGAGTGTTGTACCAATTTAACTGAAATGTGGTAGTAGTTCTCTAACAATGTAATGTTTATAGGGGACAGATAAGAGTGCCAGCAAGACTCAAACCTTTAACGGTTGAGTGTTTAGCCCTGTAGTCACTGCCAGTGTAGAAGCCTTTGTTAAGACCTAAAAAAGTGCAAGTGATATAAAGCACCAAATATTCATTGGTATGCTGTAATATATGATTACATATTCACTGTTAGCTATTGCTGTAATTTTATTACATTACAATTTAACAATAAAGTACTGTATTGCTGTTTTGGTGTATATTTACTGCAACATTCTGTAAATTATGGTGCACAGTGGAAACATTTTGTGAGAGGGGAAAGAATTGCTGGCTCATTAACCTATTTCGAGGCGTGCCTTGTAAGTGGCGCTATTTGTTGCAACCGTTAGTAAGAATTCTGTACCAATTTTAATTCTATATAGTTGTAGTGCCCTAACAATTTAATGGGTATAGGGGACAGATCAGAATGTCAGAAAAGTTTTAAACCTTTAGGTTGAGTGGTTTGTCCTGTAATCACAGCCAGTTTGGAAGCCTTTGTTTAGGCCTCTAGAACTACAAGTGATATAAAACACAAAATATTCTGTAATATACAAATGCCTAATAGTCAACCTGCTTGCACCAATCCCATGTAATTGCAGTAAACTACAGTTAAATACCAATATTACGTTTACAGTAGCATTTAATTTCTTACAGTATAGTAGGCTAATTTTACAGTATTGTGATGTTTTTTTAGTCAACCTTAGTTTAATGCACTGATTGTAAGTTGAACTGGACAAGAGTGTCTGCTAAATTATGTAATGGAAGAAGGGCTGATAATCGGCAGTAATGAGGTAATCTGCCAATTTGAAACTGTGGGGGTCATCCAGACTACTCCATACCATTGTTTTTTCCTCGTGGCCTTCTGGCTGTTTTCTCAGTCATAACCTCCCACAAACCTTGGAGAACAGCCACTGGAGTAATCACATTGTGGCCTCCCTGAGACTCATTGAGCTATCAGTGAAGTGGAGAGACGTGTTTGGCTGACAGAGGTGACACTCTATCTCGCTCACTCTCTCTCGCTCTGTCTGACCCTTGGCTGATTGTCACACACACACACACACACACACACACACACACACACACACACACACACACACACACACACACACACACACACACACACACACACACACACACACACACTCACTCACACACAGATGTGTTTCTGAGACATGTAGGATTTGCATTGCCAAGTAGCATGTTGTTTTGATAACTGTATTTAGAGTTTTGCACATGTATCCGCAGTATTGAACAATGCTTGTTAGCAATCTAAAAAAACTGTAAAGCAACAGTTGGCCAGTTATATCTACAGTAGTTTGGTAACCCATTTAGAAATCCTCCCTAATTTTTACATTTACATTTTTGTCATTTAGCAGACACTCTTATCCAGAGCGACCCACTGCGTGCATACATCTCTCATCCAGAGCGACCCACTGCGTGCAGTGCATACATCTCTCATACTAATGAAGGATGAACTGTGATTAAACACCGTGAAAATAATCTGACATGCTCCCGCCGGCCACCTCCAGGAAAATGTTTGATCAAATTGAACACACTATAATATACATTTCTGTATTGCAATATTTAGCTTTCTAAGTGTGTGTGTTTGTTTGTGTGTGAGAGCTTATGATAGCAAATCAATGCTATCAATGTAATTGAAAAATAGACTACAAAGTAACCATTCTATTTCTAAGCAAACATATATATATATTGTCTGTCCCCCCACACACACACACACACACACACACACCCCTACAGGACTCAGGGGGTCTAGTATTCCACTACTGGGCATTGTTTGACGGCCATGCCGGCTCCGGAGCTGCAGTAGTGGCCTCCAAGCTCCTCCAAGCTCCTCCAACACCACATTGTCGAGCAGCTCCAGTCTGTCCTCAAGGTCCTAAGGAACCATGCTGTTATACCGCCCACCTTCTTCGGCGAGAAGTCTAACCACCACATGACCCCTGCACCCCTCCACCACAGAGGTTATTCACAGAGAAGAAGATCCAGCACGATAGCCTGGTGATGGGAGCCATGGAGAATGCCTTCAAGGAGATGGTGAGTGCCTGCCATGGCTGTTGTTGTTGCGTTGTGTGCATCTCAATGAGCCACTATTGTTTGAGGGAGAATATCAGAGTTGTGGAGATGTTGCCTCTGTCCTGGTTAGATTTGCCTTGTAGCTATTTTTCCTCACAGACCTCTCCCTCCCACCTCAGCCCCGACCCCTCATCCCACCACCACCTTCACCCAGTTCTAACGTACTTAGTCATTACATCTCTCCACCATGTCTATTCATCTCATCACATCATCCAGGTCTCAATCCACACAGAGAATAGCCCACCATCTGGTGTGACGTGTATCAGTATATACAATGCTCAGCCTAAAAATAGAACTGAATGTCATTGAGTGTACTAAGACCTAATACAGTGATAGCTTCAGTTCCATCTGTATGCTTAACTTAAAGAGTAATTGATTATTGAATCATGTTATCAACCATCTAAATCGCTGTCCTTTGTAAAATGTGATATGTTCTCGGATATTTAGCTTCCTAAATAGTTTCCTCCTGTTGTCTTCCTGAGGATGTGGCTTTATCTCTATATGTTCTCGGATATTTAGCTTCCTAAATAGTTTCCTCCTGTTGTCTTCCTGAGGATGTGGCTTTATCTCTTTATCCTTAAAGGGGCAATCTGCAATTCAAACAATAACAAAGCGAACACCCCACCACTGATTTGGTAAATAGCTGAGGGATGGGGCTGGAGAAATATAACCACTCTCAAATTCATAGACCGGCCTATGGATGCAAGGACGGACCATTCACAAGATCAAAATTATTGTTTTAACCATGTTTTGAGGCTATACAGTGTTAGTTTACAATTACTTTGTTCACAAACAAAGGAGTAAAACAAGCGTATATTGTGGGTTTTGATGGCCTAGCACAATTTAACTAAGCTCATGAGGCATTTATAAATTATATTCTTAAAAAATCAATGGGCATATACAAACGCAGATTGCCCCTTTTAATCTATATTCACACAACACAAATGATTAAGTGCATTTTATGCAACACATTCATATAAAATCCCAAGTGGCAGATAATTACAGTCAGAGATGGGCAGTATTTCTGTTACATGTATTTGAGATATGTATTTCAATTACTTCTAAGTATTTTGTAATTTGTATTACACTTGGCTGAACTACACCCAAAGGTATTTTGTAACAAGATTCAAAATACAAAATACTTTTCTATACCATTTTTTAAAATAGCGGTTCACAATTTTGTGGCCTTCTTTCAACCTGCATTGGTATCAGAGGTCTGATGCACTATGGTGGGATAAGAGCATCTGCAAAATGAACAATTGCAAAGCATGCTGAGTATTATTTTAGTGAGCTCCGCCCGAAACGAGGCCAATAGTAATACCCAGTGTGCTTTGCAGTTCATTTTAGTATGTTTATTTTCACATACACATTTGCATTTTGGTCATTTAGCAGACACTCTTATCCAGAGTGACTTACAGTCAGTGCATTCAACTAAGGTAGATAAACAACAACATATCACAGTCATAGCAAGTAAAACGTTTCTGTAACCGTTACAGATTAAACAAACAACTAGAGCTTAACTTTTTTCTCTAGTATACATAGTCTTTCCTGTACTCTCTCCTCTCCGCACAGGCTACACAAACGCCTCACACCGCGTGGCTGCTGCCTCTCTAACCTGGTGGTCCCTGCACGCACCACACACCTGGAGTTCCAGGTCTCAGGCAGCCTCTGGAACTGCCGTTCTGCTGTCAACAAGGCTGACTTCATCCCAGCCTATGCTACCCTCCAGTCCCTCGACTTCCTGGCGCTGACGGAAACATGGATTACCACTGAAAACACTGCTACTCCTACTGCTCTCTCCTCGTCTGACCATGTGTTCTCGCATACCCCGAGAGCATCTGGTCAGAGGGGTGGTGGCACAGGAATCCTCATCTCTCCCAAGTGGACATTCTCAATTTTTCCCCTAACCCATCTGTCTATCTCCTCATTTGAATTCCATGCTGTCACAGTCACTAGCCCATTTAAGCTTAATATCCTTGTCATCTATCACCCTCCAGGTTCCCTTGGAGAGTTCATCAATGAGCTTGACGCCTTGATAAGCTCCTTTCCTGAGGATGGCTCACCCCTCACAGTTTTGGGGGATTTCAACCTCCCTACGTCTACATTTGACTCATTTCTCTCTGCCTCCTTCTTTCCACTCCTCTCCTCTTTTGACCTCACCCTCTCACCGTCCCCCCCTACTCACAAGGCAGGCAATACGCTTGACCTCATCTTCACTATATGCTGCTCTTCTACTAATCTCACTGCAACTCCCCTCCATGTCTCCGACCACTACTTTGTATCCTTTTCTCTCTCGCTCTCCTCCAACACTACTCACTCTGCCCCTACACAGATGGTAATGCGCCGCCGCAACCTTCGCTCTCTCTCCCACTACTCTCTCCTGTTCCATCCTATCATCTCTTCCCTCTGCTCAATCCTTCTCCCTCCAATCTCCTGATTCTGCCTCCTCAACCCTCCTCTCCTCCCTTTCTGCATCCTTTGACTCTCTGTGTCCCCTATCCTCCCGGCCGGCTCGGTCCTCCCCTCCAGCTCCGTGGCTTGATGACTCATTGCGAGCTCACAGAACAGAGCTCCGGGCAGCTGAGCGGAAATGGAAGAAAACTAGACTCCCTGCCGACCTGGCATCTTTTCACTCCCTCCTCTCTACATTTTCTTCATCTGTTTCTGCTGCTAAGGCCACTTTCTACCACTCTAAATTCCAAGCATCTGCCTCTAACCCTAGGAAGCTCTTTACCACATTCTCCTCCCTGCTGAATCCTCCCCCCTCCTCCCTCTCTGTGGATGACTTCGTCAACCACTTTGAAAAGAAGGTTGACGACCTCGTTTGTTAAGTCTAATGACACTGCTGGTCCTGCTCACACTGCCCTACCCTATGCTTTGACTTCTTTCTCCCCTCTCTCTCCAGATAAAATCTCGCGACTTGTGACTGCAGGCCGCCCAACAACCTGCCCGCTTGACCCCATCCCCTCCTCTCTTCTCCAGACCATCTCCGGTGACCTTCTCCCCTACCTCACCTCGCTGATCAACTCATCCCTGACCGCTGGCTATGTCCCTTCCGTCTTCAAGAGAGCGAGAGGTGCACCCCTTCTCAAAAAACCAACACTCGATCCCTCTGATGTCAACAACTACAGACCAGTATCCCTTCTTTCTTTTCTTTCCAAAACTATTGAGCGTGCCGTCTTTAGCCAACTCTCTTGCTATCTCTCTCAGAATGACCTTCTTGATCCAAACCAGTCAGGTTTCAGGACTGGTCATTCAACTGAGACTGCTCTTCTCTGTGTCACAGAGGCTCTCCGCACTGCTAAAGTTAACTCTCTCTCCTCTGCTCTTGTCCTTCTAGACCTGTCTGCTGCCTTTGATACTGTGAACCATCAGATCCTCCTCTCCACCCTCTCCGAGCTGGGCATCTCCGGCGCGGATCACTCTTGGATTGCGTCCTACCTGACCGGTCGCTCCTACCAAGTGGCGTGGCGAGAAGCTGTCTCCGCACCACGTGCTCTCACCACTGGTGTCCCCCAGGGCTCAGTTCTAGGCCCTCTCCTATTCTCGCTATACACCAAGTCACTTGGCTCTGTCATATCCTCACATGGCCTCTCCTATCATTGCTACGCTGACGATACACAACTAATCTTCTCCTTTCCCCCTTCTGATAACCAGGTGGCGAATCGCATCTCTGCATGTCTGGCAGACATATCAGTATGGATGACGGATCACCACCTCAAGCTGAACCTTGGCAAGATGGAGCTGCTCTTCCTCCCGGGGAAGGACTGCCCGTTCCATGATCTCGCCATCACGGTTGACAACTCCGTTGTGTCCTCCTCCCAGAGTGCGAAGAGCCTTGGCGTGACCCTGGACAACACCCTGTCGTTCTCCGCTAACATCAAGGCGGTGACCCGATCCTGCAGGTTCATGCTCTACAACATTCGGAGAGTACGACCCTGCCTTACACAGGAAGCGGCACAGGTCCTAATCCAGGCACTTGTCATCTCCCGTCTGGATTACTGCAACTCGCTGTTGGCTGGGCTCCCTGCCTGTGCCATTAAACCCCTACAACTCATCCAGAATGCCGCAGCCTGTCTGGTGTTCAACCTTCCCAAGTTCTCTCACGTCACCACGCTCCTCCGCACACTCCACTGGCTTCCAGTTGAAGCTCGCATCTGTTACAAGACCATGGTGCTTGCCTATGGAGCCGTGAGGGGAACGGCACCTCCGTACCTTCAGGCTCTGATCAGTCCCTACACCCAAACGAGGGCACTGCATTCATCCACCTCTGGCCTGCTGGCTCCCCTTCCTCTGCGGAAGCATAGTTCCCGCTCAGCCCAGTCAAAACTGTTCGCTGCTCTGACACCCCAATGGTGGAACAAGCTCCCTCACGATGCCAGGACAGCGGAGTCACTCACCACCTTCCGGAGACATTTGAAACCCCACCTCTTTAAGGAATACCTGGGATAGGATAAAGTAATCCTTCTACACCCCCCCCCCCCCCCCCCCCCCCAAAAAAAAAGAAATAAGAAAAAAAAAGAAATAAGAAAATAAGGAAAAAAACATTGTAAAGTGGTTATCCCACTGGCTATAGGGTGAATGCACCAATTTGTAAGTCGCTCTGGATAAGAGCGTCTGCTAAATGACGTAAATGTAAATGTAAATGTACTGACCAGTATAGCCTTTTGTGTAATTCCTTGCTCTGCTGAGTTTCTGATTATCGCCACGGTGTGCTTTCTGTGTGTGTTTTTATACAATGTATTTTACACACCAGTGCATAATCTGTCATTTACACACGCAAGTCTGATAGAGTATCTATTTACGCCTGTCCTTAGTATACATTCCTGTGTGCTATTTTCCATGTTGCCTTTATTTTTCATGTTGCCTCTGATGTGATAATGTTGTAGATTTGTTTTGTACAGTGGGGAAAAAATGTATTTAGTCAGCCTCCAATTGTGCAAGTTCTCCCACTTAAAAAGATGAGAGAGGCCTGTAATTTTCATCATAGGTACACGTCAACTATGACAGACAAAATGAGGAGAAAATCACATTGTAGGATTTTTTATGAATTTATTTGCAAATTATGGTGGAAAATACTTTGTTATATACCCTTTGTTGGCAATGACACAGGTCAAACGTTTTCTGTAAGTCTTCACAAGGTTTTCACACACTGTTGCTGGTATTTTGGCCCATTCCTCCATGCAGATCTCCTCTAGAGCAGTGATGTTTTGGGGCTGTCGCTGGGCAACACGGACTTTCAACTCCCTCCAAAGATTTTCTATGGGGTTGACATCTGGAGACTGGCTAGGCCACTCCAGGACATTGAAATGCTTCTTACGAATCCACTCCTTCGTTGCCCGGGCGGTGTGTTTGGGATCATTGTCATGCTGAAAGACCCAGCCACGTTTCATCTTCAATGCCCTTGCTGATGGAAGGAGGTTTTCACTCAAAATCTCACGATACATGGCCCCATTCATTCTTTCCTTTACACGGATCAGTCGTCCTGGTCCCTTTGCAGAAAAACAGCCCCAAAGCATGATGTTTCCACCCCCATGCTTCACAGTAGGTATGGTGTTCTTTGGATGCAACTCACCATTCTTTGTCCTCCAAACACGACGAGTTGAGTTTTTACCAAAAAGTTATATTTCGGTTTCATCTGACCATATGACATTCTCCCAATCCTCTTCTGGATCATCCAAATGCACTCTAGCAAACTTCAGACGGGCCTGGACATGTACTTGCTTAAGCAGGGGGACACGTCTGGCACTGCAGGATTTGAGTCCCTGGCGGCGTAGTGTGTTACTGATGGTAGGCTTTGTTACTTTGGTCCTAGCTCTCTGCAGGTCATTCACTAGGTCCCCCCGTGTGGTTCTGGGATTTTTGCTCACCGTTCAAATCAAATCAAATCAAATCAAATCAAATTGTATTGGTCACATGCGCCGAATACAACAGGTGCAGACATTACAGTGAAATGCTTACTTACAGCCCTTAACCAACAGTGCATTTATTTTAAACAAAAAAAGTAAGAATAAAACAACAACAAAAAAAGTGTTGAGAAAAAAAGAGCAGAAGTAAAATAAAGTGACAGTAGGGAGGCTATATATACAGGGGGGTACCGTTGCAGAGTCAATGTGCGGGGGCACCGGCTAGTTGAGGTAGTTGAGGTAATATGTACCGTTCTTGTGATCATTTTGACCCCACGGGGTGAGATCTTGCGTGGAGCCCCAGATCGAGGGAGATTATCAGTGGTCTTGTATGTCTTCCATTTCCTAATAATTGCTCCCACAGTTGATTTCTTCAAACCAAGCTGCTTACCTATTGCAGATTCAGTCTTCCCAGCCTGGTGCAGGTCTACAATTTGGTTTCTGGTGTCCTTTGACAGCTCTTTGGTCTTGGCCATAGTGGAGTTTGGAGTGTGACTGTTTGAGGTTGTGGACAGGTGTCTTTTATACTGATAACAAGTTCAAACAGGTGCCATTAATACAGGTAATGAGTGGAGGACAGAGGAGCCTCTTAAAGAAGAAGTTACAGGTCTGTGAGAGCCAGAAATCTTGCTTGTTTGTAGGTGACCAAATACTTATTTTCCACCATAATTTGCAAATAAATTTATCAAAAATCCTACAATGTGATTTTCTGGAGCATTCTTTTTCTCAATTTGTCTGTCATAGTTGACGTGTACCTATGATGAAAATTACAGGCCTCTCTCATCTTTTTAAGTGGGAGAACTTGCACAATTGGTGGCTGACTAAATACTTTTTTCCCCCACTGTGTATAATTATTTACCTGTCATGTGACATTTACCTGTCCCCACCTCTATTTCTAGAGACACGTCAGCTTCCATCCACAACGCTGCCTAATTTTTAATTAAATACATTTCAAAATAAAATTATTTTGTAGTTTATTTTGAGACATTGATCTTTATGATATTTTGTAATTGTATTTTCTCATTTTTGCCCAGCCCTGATTAGTCACTTACCAACAGCTGTTTTGTAGGCAGCTGTCTATTCCTTGTGGCCTTACTCATAGTAATTTTCATATGCAGACTCAAAGCTTGTCATCTCTCAGAGATGGTATACTGTATATGGCCTCTAGATGGCAATGTAAGTTAATATGGGATGCTCTCAAGTCTCCCACCCTGAGCTCCTTCCCATGTAAATTAAATCTGCCCAACGCAAGCTTATCCTAGCTCATGTTCCCCTAACATTTCGTAAGGCTAAGACCAATGAAACTGCCTGCATTTTGAAGAGCCTGAGGCGCAATCAGCCAGCAGCAAGATACTGTAACCTTTAAAGAGCATTACCTGCTGCAGGGCTTAGTCATACTGTACATCAGGGCAGAAAGGATGTACTATAGTACAGTAGTATGGGAGATGAATTTATGAACATACACTTTAGGCTTACTCCGGCTGACCCTACTGTATGTGTTGGCTGTTTTTTTTTTTTTACTTATACCGACTTCAGCTGTCTTCCAACCCCCACAGAGTTTGAAAGGATCTATTTATTGTTGCATATCTTTACATTGTCTCAGAATGTCCTGCATTTCCCAGTGTTCCATTGGTTCCATTGCGCCAGGCAATCTCAAGCAAAAAATGATGTACTCTTTGAACTCAGGTCTGGTGGGGGTGGAAGGGCCTTATCATGGCATAACCCTCAGCTGCCCCCTGTCTGTGTTGTACAGTCATCAGATGGCCGATCAGCATCCAGGCAGAATACACGGGAGAGAAACCCCACCACAGCTCCTCTCTCCCTCACATGCACCTTCTGCACAGACGGCACACACAGCAAACACACACACAACTTTCACGGTGCAGTGCATCTGCCCCAGATCACTGTTTATTGCCTTTTAGCCTATTCTCTTCCTCAGAGACTTCTGAAGGAAGTCTTCTTGCTTTAACTAGATGTTAATTGCATGTTATATTTATATTCTGTCTCCTATTAGTTTAATAGATTTTTGGGTCAAATTCAAAATCAACATGTTATTCACTGTACTTTTTAAATGTTCTTATTCTCATGTTAGATTGTATGCCTTACACCCAATTTTAGGTTGACTAACGTGTGTGTGTGCTTGTGTGTTCAGGATGCCCAGATAGAGAAGGAGAAGCAGGTGTATAGCATCACAGGAGGATGCACAGCACTGTGTGTTGTTTATCTGCTTGGAATGCTATATGTGGGAAACGCAGGAGACAGCAGGTTAGTGTGTGTGTGTTGTATCTATCCTGATTTGATCCTGAACTGCCTTGTCCCAAAAATACACAAACCTACTCTTAACATATTGGCGGTATGCTAGGCTAGTCTAACGTGTCAGTGTTTCCCGTATATTCATTTTTTTCATTTTTGTAATATATATTTTTAAAGAGAGAGTGCGAGATTTTGGCAATTAAGGTCAATATCCGCACCCCCGCATAAATCTAATATGCATAATAAAAAAATCCCCATAATAATCCCTCAATTTAAGCTAGAGATATATATTTTTGCATTGGATGCATCTCAATCCACACATCCGTGGTGAAAAGTGACAGCGCTAGAGCGGTGTTTGTTAGACCATGAGATCCCAAAAATCGGTCTTCTTACAAAATCGTCTGTAGCGTCCGAACGGTTTGGACTATAAACTATTATGACCCCTCAATGGAAAGATGAGAATCTCACCCCCACAAGTGTCTTGGGACTCATCTGAAGTCGGTACAGCCGATCTGCGCACTGTCTGTAGCGTCCGAACAGTTTGTGCTACACTCTAATGCCCACAGGCCTCACAAGACTCATCTGAAGGTCCACCAGTACCAGTTAAAAAATGTATGGAAGTATATATGGAGACTGTTTAGTGCCAAAAATAAGTGATTAAATACATGTAAAATCAAGTAGCAAAATGATCCTTGGTATGACCTTAAAACAATTCCATATAGCTTAATAGAACACCCCCCCCCCCCCCCCCACACCAAAAAAATAATACAACAGAAAATATATATACAGTGTGTGCGAATGTAGTAAGTTATGGAGGTAAGGCAATAAATAAATAGGCCATAGTACAAAAATAGTTACAATTTCGTAATTAACACTGGAATGATAGATGTGTAATGTGCAAATAGAGATACTGGGGTGCAAATTAGCAAAATAAATAACAATATGGGGATGAGGTAGTCGGGTGGGCTAATTTCAGAATGGCTGTGTACAGGTGCAGTGATCGGTAAGCTGCTCTGACAACTGACGCTTAAAGTTAGTGAGGGAGATAAGTGTCTCCAGCTTCAGAGATTTTTGCAGTTCGTTCCAGTCATTGGCAGCAGAGAACTGGAAGGAATGGCGGCCAAAGGAGGTGTTGGCTTTAGGGATGACCAGTGAGATATACCTGCAGGAGCGCAGACTACGGGTGGGTGTTGCTATGGTGACCAGTGAGCTAAGATAAGAAAAGGATTTGCCTAGCAGTGATTTATAGATGACCTGGAGCCAGTGGGTTTGGCGACGAATATGTAGTGAGGGCCAGCCAACAAGAGCGTACAGGTCACAATGGTGGGTAGTATATGGGGCTTTGGTGACTAACGGATGGCACTGTGATAGACTACATACAATTTGCTAAGTAGAGTGTTGGAGGCTATTTTGTAAATGACATCGCCGAAGTCAAGGATCGGTAGGATAGTCATTTTTACGAGGGCATGTTTGGCAGCATGAGTGAAGGAGGCTTTGTTGCGAAATAGGAAGCCGATTCTAGATCTAACTTTTGATTGGAGATGCTTAATGTGAGTCTGGAAGGAGAGTTTACAGTCTAACCAGAAACCTAGGTATTTGTAGTTGTCCACATACTCTAGGTCAGACCCGCCGAGAATAGTGATTCTAATCGGGTGGGAGGGTGCAAGCAGCGTTCGGTTGAAGAGCATGCATTTAGTTTTACTAGTGTTTAAGAGCAGTTGGAGGCTACGGAAGGAGTGTTGTATGGCGTTGAAGCTCATTTGGAGGTTTGTTAACACAGTGTCCAATGAAGGGCCAGATGTATACAAAATGGTGTCATCCACATAGAGGTGGATCCGAGCATCACCAGCAGCAAGAGCGACATCATTGATATACACAGAGAATAGAGTCGGCCCGAGAATTTCACCCTGTGGCATCCCCATAGAGACGGCCAGAGGTCCAGACAACAGGCCCTCCGATTTGACACATTGAAGTAGTTGGTGAACGAGGCGAGGCAGTCATTAGAGAAACCAAGGCTATTTAGTCTGCCAATAAGAATGCGGTGGTTGACAGAGTCGAAAGCCTTGGCCAGGTCGATGAAGACGGCTGCGCAGTACTGTCTTTTATCGATCGCGGTTATAATATCGTTTAGGACCTTGAGCGTGGCTGAGATGCACCCCATGACCAGCTCGGAAACCGGATTGCATAGCGGAGAAGGTACGGTGGGATTCGAAATGGTCGGTGATCTGTTTGTTAACTTGGCTTTCAAATGCTTTCGAAAGGCAGGGCAGGATGGATATAGGTCTGTAACAGGTTGGATCTAGAGTGTCACCCCCTTTGAAGAGGGGGATGACCGCGGCAGCTTTCCAATCTCTGGGGATCTCAGACGTTATGAAAGAGAGGTTGAACAGGCTAGTAATTGGGGTTGCGACAATTTCGGCGGCTAATTTTAGAAAAAAAGGGTCCATATTGTCTAGCCCAGCTGATTTGGAGGGGTCCAGATTTTTCAGCACTTTCAGAACATCAGCTGTCTGAATTTGTGTGAAGGAGAAGCGGGGGGGGGGGCATGGGCAAGTTGCAGCGGAGGGTGCAGAGCTTGTGGCCGGGTAGTGGTAGCCAGGTGGAAAGCATGGCCAGCCGTAGCAAAATGCTTGTTGAAATTCTCGATTATTGTAGATTTATTGGTGTCCCAAAACCTTTTGGAGTTAGTGCTACAGGATGCAAATTTCTGTTTGAAAAAGCTAGCCTTTGCTTTCCTAACTGATTGTGTATATTGGTTCCTGACTTCCCTGAAAAGTTGTATATCGCAGGGGCTGTTCGATGCTAATGCAGTACGTCACAGGATGTTTTTGTGCTGGTCAAGGGAAGTCAAGTCTGAGGAGAACCAAGGGCTAAATCTGTTCATAGTTCTGAATTTTTTGAATGGGGCATGCTTATTTAAGATTGAGAGGAAAGCACTTTTAAAGAACAACCAGGCATCCTCTACTGACGGAATGAGGTCAATATCCATCCAGGATACCCGGGCCAGGTCAATTAGAAAGGCCTGCTCGCTAAAGTGTTTTAGGGAGCGTTTGACAGTGATGAGGGGTGGTCGTTTGACCGCGGACCCATTACGGACCTGTCTATGTAAGGTCCCACAGTTGAAAGTGCATGTCAGAGCAAAAACCAAGCCATGAGGTCGAAGGAATTGTCTGTAGAGCTCCGAGATAGGATTGTGTCGAGGCACAGATCTGGGGAAGGGTACCAAAACATTTTGGCAGCATTGAAGGTCCCCAAGAACACAATGGCCTCCATAATTCTTAAATGGAAGAAGTTTGGAACCATCAAGACTCTTCCTAGAGCTGGCCGCCCGGCCAAACTGAGCAATCGGGAGAGAAGGGCCTTGGTCAGGGAGGTGACCAAGAACCCGATGGTCACTCTGACAGAGCTCCAGAGTTCATCTGTGGAGATGGGAGAACCTTCCAGAAGGACAACCATCTCTGCAGCACTCCACCAATCAGGCATTTATGGTAGAGTGGCCAGATGGAAGCGTCACATCTGGAGGAAACCTGGTACCATCCCTACGGTGAAGCATGGTGGTGGCAGCATCATGCTGTGGGATTTTTTTCAGCGGCAGGGACTGGGAGACTAGTCAGGATCGAGGGAAAGAGAGCAAAGTACAGAGAGATCCTTGATGAAAATCTGCTCCATCTGCTAAACACGTGTATGTGACCAATAAAATGTGATTTGATTGGGGCTAAGGTTCACCTTCCAAAAGGACAACGACCCTAAGCACACAGCCAAGACAATGCAGGAGTGGCTTCGGGACAAGTCTCTGAATGTCCTTGAGTGGGACCAGGCAGAGCCCGGACTTGAACCCGATCAAACATCTCTGGAGAGACCTGAAAATAGCTGTGCAGCAATGTTCCCCATTCAACGTGACAGAGCTTGACAGGATCTGCAGAGAAGAATGGGAGAAACTCCCCAAATACAGGTGTGCCAAGCTTGTAGCGTCATACCAAAGAGGACTTGAGGCTGTAATCCGTTTTTTTTTTCTTCATAAATTTACAAAAATAAATAAAAAACAGTTTTTGCTTTGTCATTATGGGGTATTGTGTGTAGACTGAGTGGGGGGAGGGGAACTATTTAAACCATTTTAGAATAAGGCTGTAACATAAGAAAATGTGGAAAAAGTCAAGGTGTCTAAATACTTTCCGAATGCACTGTATGCTCAGTAAAACCAGTCAAATCCATATACTGTAGCTGCCTACATGCACACTGAAAAGGGGTTACCGTGAATTTGATAGTAATTACAGGCAGCTCGGTGGCAAGTAAAATTCTGTATTTAATATTACAGTACACCTACTGTATTCACAAAGATTATCAGAGGGATTTTTTAGGCTGAACTGATGGGGAATCCATTTCGACGGCAGCAAAATGGAAGAATCTCAATTAGAGGTAACCTAACATTAGCTAGCTTGCTAGCTTAGCTGGACTAAGTTAGCTAGCTTGCTACAGTGCTGTATAGAACTCTGAAAGCCATCAGCTAAATCACATAGCTATCTTTTGGATACACACTACTGTCAATCAATTTAGCCTAAGCCATGCTAGTCACTGCTACACTGGTAGCTACCTTCAGCAGAGTAAACATCTTTGACTAACGTTAGCAAATAAGAGTATCTGAATCTGGTAGCCAGAATTTCCACTCTTGTCTGGAAAACACTCAGCTACTTCGGCAATTCTATTTTTAGTAACAAACTCACTCTCTTTGTGTTGTTAGCAATGATGAATGTGTATAAATTGTCTATGGTTGGTTAGCTTGTTGGTTCTCAGCTGGCTAGACATCTTGCTGCCAATTTAGTGATGCTAGCTAACAGCAAGCTGACTCTATTGAAATGTCCATGTTAGGTGTGCTAAGCTAGCCAGTCTAATAGAGATCAATACAATTAGTGGGGTGGTTAAATTGTGTATTGTTATGTATTTTGTTGTAGGTGGTACAGAATCTGATTCCACCAGCATGTTCTTCCAACCCCTAGCTCTGCACAAGGTGAAGGTAAGTATTTACAAGCTGATGGTTAAGATAGATGAATTTACAGTAAGAATGGCATAAACATGAATTGGGTAGTGTTTGTATGGGTATGTGTTTGT